TTCCAAAAGAAAGGTAAACCAAAAATGTCACTCGGCACATACATCACTCCACTCAAGCATTAGGATCCCCACCGCTAAGAGATCCTGATATACATGTCAATTAAAAAAAATGATAGGCTTAACGACAATGAATTCAAACAGTCATAAAATAAAACTATAAAGCATTAAAACTGAAAACATAATGTTAATCAAATCATTTAATACATTTAAATCGAGCTCACCCTTGGAAGGGCATAAAACATCTTACTAAGATGGGGGAGACTCGATTCACTATTGACAATGACGGAACATACAAGTAAAGCACATTTCAATGTTATATAAGCATCATTTGTGGATAACCAATCATTCAGATCAACCTCTCTAAGTTTATAGTTTAATGAGTTAACAAACTCAACTTTTCCATATCTTTTGCTTCTGGAGTCACAAAGTTTAACCTTAGTAGGTCTTTACCTTAATCAAAATCCAAGTTAAGTGGTTCACTTAGAAATTACATTATGTTGGTCAATGACAGATGCCCGACTCCAAAAGCCCACACCTTATTGCCTATGAAGACCCAATGCCTATTTCAAGTTAAAAATAGGGAATATCATCCCACACACATTAAATAACAGTGACTTCTATGCCTAGAGATCTATCGCATTCTAGTTTATGGTGTATAATCCTTTAGATGTGTCAAACTATATCCAACATAAAAATAATCATGTATAAATAGTCACCAAGTGGGTAAAATTCCTATTTTTTCAACAAAACCAAGTTAAGGCCATTTGTAATACTTGGTTTCCAGAACTCATCGAAACTTTGAGAAAATCATCCCTAATGTATATAAAATCATTCCTCACACTTATTTTATCAAAATGCATAAAGTCCCAAAAATCCCAAACTTGACCTAGTTGGTCCAAAATCACCTAAATGTGGAATACTTGAAATAAAAGTTTTAAGGTTCTAAATACAACATGTTAACATGTTTATGGTTTTATAAAGTGTAGGATGAACTCATAATGCTAGGTTTTGGGTGAAAACCTATTTCTCAGCAGAACACTTGAAATGGAGATGAGAGGCTTGAATCTTGGATCATAGTCTTAAATCTCTAGCTTTAATGTAGAGTAAACCTCTACAAATGGTTGGAGAAATGGACTAAATGCTTCAAGAACCGCAGTAAATGAGGAGGGAAGGGAAAAACTCGAATAGGAGAAATGATGGTGAGGAGTAAATAAGAAACCCTTAAAAAACAGGCTTAAAACCCGACCTGCACCAATACTGCGACCTAGCCCACAACTAAAGTCACGGGGCTAGTCGCCTGTCCCAATTTCACCCTGACCCCAGTGAGTCACACAACTCTAGTCATAACCTGGTCGCGTGGCTAGCTGCATGAGGCTTTGTTTGGCATAGTTCTCCCAGATTTTGGTCCCTAAACTCAAATACCAACACAAGGCCTAAGTTAACATTTATACATAATATTTTACCTATTAGAGTGAATGAGTGATTACATGACTCATAAAGGAGAGGTTGTTACAAAAACAAAAGGTTAGAAACATCACAGTTATGAACAGACTAACTGACTAGGTACCTTCTAAAAACCAAGAAATTTGGCAATGTTGAAGTTCATGGATGTGTTCCCTCCATTGACATGCATTCACCTCTATCATCAGTCCAAGGAATTCAAAAAATAATCATATGCTCAGGCTCTAACAGAGTAACAGGTGTTTTATCGTGTTGACATAACTACAACATTGTAAACTCCTCTTCTCTTAAGGTTGTAACAAAGTTTAGTAATAATAGAATTTTTGGTTCAAATGACATGATGTTGATTGATACAACAATCATTGAGATAACTCACCCAAAGTTTTTTGAGATAACTATTTCTAAAGAATGAACAACTTCTTGCACATATTGTATAAACTCATCTCATAAGGATCCCTTTTAAGTAAAGCTTCAACAATTGATTCGACTATTTTAGACATGTGAGTCGTCAAGATTTAAACCATCAATACACTGGCTAAAGCAAATGATTCAAGAAGAGAGAGTAGAAATAGGAACATAAATAATGACATTAAGAAATTATTGAATTAAGTAAAATTCATTCAAAACTCACAAATATAAAGTAAACTTTTGACCAAAAATTTAAAAAGGAACATGCATCCATCAATGAATTTGTAAGTTAAATTTTTAAAGGGAACATTTTCTTACATAGTTTCTCCTTATACAAGTTCCATAAGCAATAACTATGGTACCTTTATCCATTTTTCACACTTTTTTGACCATACTAAGAACTTCTACATGAACATACCAACAACATCAAAATTGAGTTAACAGACACATTTAATAATCCTCTCCTACAAAAACCTAGTTAAAAAAGAGATGAAATTTAATTAGTATTACACAAAAATCATGAATCTTGAAAGCAAACCACTTTTTAGAGCTTAACTTGCTAATAAAGCTTTAGATGTTGAATATGCAAAAGCAAAAGAACCCAAATAAAAAAGATGGAATTTAAACGATATCATTCGAAATAACCGAACTTTTTTAAGGCTAAACCATTTTAGGTTGAAAAGAATCAAATCTCACAAACTACAACTTAATAATTCAAACGACTGAAAGATTATTGGTTACTTTTTAGACGTTCTCATGGAATCAACCTACCTCCCATTTCAATAAAAAAAATAAAAAAAAAATGTTCTAGTAAATCTCATTATCATCCAACTGAGTAAGCAAAGCATAGTAATGATCATTATAATATGGAATACTGATAGAAAGCCCCATGGTTGCATTTTACGGTTATCGATTAGGAAGTGTTGTAGAAATCTGGAATTCCTAGTTCATGCAGGAATATTGCTGCATAAGAGGCTTTAACACAGATTGTTTTTTTTAACGTAAAACTTTTTTTCATCAATTATAATCAGCAAGTCAATACATATATATACACAAGAACCATCGCAACCCTTTACATGGAGGTTATATGATGGCAATTTATTTATTAATAACTACCCAAACAAACCAAGTGTCTAGCTTACTACTTAACATTCCCCCTTAAGCTAGACCTTTGTTACACCCAACTTTTGTTTCATCTTCTTGAAATCTCCAGACTTCAAAGCCTTAGTGAAAACATCAGCTATTTGATCAGAGGTCTTGCAGAAAACAACTTCGATTTCTCCGAGTTTCACCAGTTCATGAATAAAGTGGTATTTAATGCGAATGTGCTTGCTCTTGCCATGGAAGACTGTATTTTTAGTAAGAGCAATTGCAGACTTGTTGTCACAGTTTATCAAAGTAGGATGCAATTGAGGCTGCTGTAACTCGCTGAGTAATCCTCTCATCCATATTACCTGACATCCAACAAATGAAATAGCCATGTATTCCGCCTCTGCCGTTGATAAAGCTACAACCTTTTGCTTCTTTGACTGCCATGACACGGCTCCAAAACCCAGGCTTAATACGTACCCTGCTGTGCTCCTGCTATCATCGATGTCACCCCCAAAATTGTTGTCACAATATGCAACCAGTTTTGGTCCCTTTACCTTCTGATATACAATTCCATGATCAAAAGTTCCTTTAATATACTTCAAAATATTCTTCCCTCCTTCCTAATGACATTGCTTTGGAGCCTCCATGAATGTACTTATTGTTCCAACAACATACATAAGGTCAAGTCTTGTGGCCGTCAAATACATGAGGCTCCCCACAAGACTCCTATATAGGCTTTGGTTCACAGGTTTGTCCATTGACTCCTTGGATAGTTTAAGACCAAACTCCATAGGTATAGAGTTAGGCTTAGCATCTTCCATCTTAAACCTTTTTAGTACATCCAAGGCATACTTTTTCTATGAAATAGCAATCATATCTACTCTTTGCTTGACCTCGATACCCAGGAAATAATGGAGATGACCCAGATTTGTCATCTCAAACTCAGCTTTCATTGAGTTCTTAAATTCACTAATTAGACTTTCACTATTTCCCGTAAAAATGAGATCGTCCACATACAAACACACAAACAGGAACTCACTCTTTACTATCTTTATGAATAAAGTGTGTTCATAAGGACATTTTCTGAATTCATGTTGCGTAAAGTATGTATCTATACGACTATACCAAGCACGTGGTAAGGAAGCTTCGAGCTCATATTGGTCATGGGTTGAGAACGGGTAGCAAATTATGTCCGTCCGTTCGAATAAGGTCTTCTACCCTTCCATTCCTACCAAGCCATCAATAACTGGCTGGAGAGGAGATACAAGTGAGTTGTCCGGCTATGGGGTACAAACAAAGATTGCTGGCTTGTTTTAGTCCGTATAGAGCCTTTTTGAGTCTACATACCTTGTGCTCTTCATTTTCTTTTACGTAACCAGGGGGTTGTTCGATATACACCACTTCATTTAAGTATCCATTTAAAAACGCTGACTTGACATCCATTTGATGTATTATCCATCCATGTTGGGCTGCCAAGGCTACAACCAAGCGAATAGTTTCCAACCGTATTACCGGGGAAAAACTTCATTGTAATCTATCCCGTGTTTCTGCTTGTACCCCTTCACCACAAGACGTGCTTTGTGCTTCTCGATCTCTCCATTTTCTTTGAGCTTGGTCTTATAGACCCACTTGATCCTTATTGGCTTTTGACCCGTTGGTAAATCCACCAGATCCCATGTATCCTTTTTCAGTATTGAATCCATTCCTTGATTCATTATTTCCTTCCATTTCTTGCTCTTAGATGCGACCTCATAGTCCATCGGATCTGTGTCGACGAATAATGCAAAGTCAACAAGTTCTGCATGATCTATCGCTTGAGTGTTCTGGTACAGATCTTAAATGCTTCTATATCCACGTGGAGGGGAATCTGTTGAACTGGAAGAGGAACTTGAGGGAGATGAGGGCTGAGAAACGACTGGACTGATCGGACTGTTGATGGGGGTGTGAACGTTCGCATCAACGGCTTCCATTGAAGGTTGCAAAGCTTTCTCTTCCATGATTATAACAGGTACCACATCTGATTTGTTCGTCCAATCCCATCACTTATCCTCGGCAAATATCACGTCCCTGCTAATGACCACTTGTTCTTTAATTGGATCATATAGCTTGTATGCCTTTGAGGCTTCGCTGTTTCCAATAAAAATGCATTTCACTGATCTGTCATCCAATTTACCACGTCCCGGAATAGGAACAAGACAAAAAGCGATGCAACCAAACACCCTAAGGTGTGATATACATGGTTTGAATCCGCTCCATGCTTCCTACAGAGTCATACCTTTCACATTGCGAGTACAGGCTCTATTCAACACATAAATGGCACATGCCACTGCTTCCGCCCAGAATTTGTTAAAAAGACCCATATGCTTGATCATGCTTCTTGCAAGCTCCATAAAGGTACGGTTTTTTCTCTCGGCAACACCGTTTTGCTGTGGTGTGTACCGAGTGGATTTCTGGTGTTTTATTCCACACTCTCTTAGGAAAGCTTCAAACTTGTGAGATGGGTACGAACTTGATCTCATAATCGCTTTGTTTCTCAACAAGGGACTTGAATGTTTTAAAAGTTTCAAACACTTGGGATTTTTCTTTCAAGAAATATACCCAAGTCTTCCTACTTAAGTCATCAATAAAGGTTAAAACGTACCGATTACCTCCAATTGATTTCGTCCTCATGGGTCCACAGACGTCAGTGTGGACAAGTTCCAGGAGCTTCGTTGCACGCCAAGCCTTCTCTTTAGGAAAAGGTGTTCTCACATGTTTACCTAAGGCACAAGCCTCACATATGTGAGAGGTGGCTTCAATCACAGGTAGTCCACGAACCATACGAGCCTTGCTCATATACATCAGAGTGTTGTGTCCCAAATGACCAAACCTTAAGTGCCAAAGATTTGGTTTTTCATTTACTTGCGTGCTAAATGTAGAAAGACCCTCCTTGTTAAACTTCAGTGGAAACATCTTATTATTAGTCATCTTGACCTTTCCTAGGACATTACCACTTGGATCTTTAAGGGAAAATTACACTAAAATGGAACCAACTTTCACCTATTTCTTATTTTAGGGAACCAACTTTCAAAATCGTTATTTTGGGGAACCAACTTGCACCTGATTCCTATTTTGGCGAACCAACTTTCAAAATCGTCATTTTGGGGAACCAACTTGCACCTGATTCCTATTTTGGGGAACCAACTTTCAAAATCGTCATTTTAGGGAACCAACTTGCACCTGATTCCCATTTTGGGGAACCAACTTGCAAAATAATTATAGAAAAATAACTAAAATTCGTTTTTTTTTCTCCAAAAGTTAATGCAATAAAATCTATTTTTCATTTCAAATATCGTTTTTTTAATTCAGATATCAAATTAAACATTTTTAAAAAAAATCCAAATTACCACAATAAAAATTATTTTTTACTAATGCAAAAAAAATCAATTTAATAGAAAAAAATTAATTGATGCACAAAAAGTTTGATATAGACCCCTAAAAAATATTTGTTTTTTATTGCATCAATTAATTTTTTTCTATTAAATTGATTTTTTTTGCATTAGTAAAAAACAATTTTTATTGTGGTAATTGGGATTTTTTTTAAATGTTCAATTTGATATCTGAATTATAAAAAAAACGAGATTTGAAATGAGAAATAGATGTTATTGCATTAATTTTTGAAAAAAATTGAATTTTAGTTATTTTTCTATAATTATTTTGCAAGTTGGTTCCCCAAAATAGGAATCAGGTGCAAGTTTGTTCCCCAAAATGACAATTTTGAAAGTTGGTTCCCCAAAATAGGAATCAGGTGCAAGTTGGTTCCCCAAAATGACGATTTTGAAAGTTGGTTCCCCAAAATAGGAATCAGGTGCAAGTTGGTTCCCCAAAATGACGATTTTGAAAGTTGGTTCCCTAAAATAGGAATTAGGTGAAAGTTTGTTCCATTTTGGTGCAATTTTCCCTATCTTTAATGACACAAGTTCTATCAACGAAATGAACATCATAGTTTTTCTGGATCAATTGCCCAACACTCAAGAGATTATGCTTGAGTGCGGGAACAAAATACACATCACTAACTTTCTTTGCACCATGATATGTATTAACCATAATATCACCTTTACCTTGAACTTTATGTTTCCTTTCATCACTCGTTCGTACTTCGCTGCTGTGTGATTCATCCAAGGTAACAAAGATGTCTTTGATCCCTGTCATGTGGTTGTTGCAGGCGCTGTCCACGTACCACGTTCCAATATCGGTGATGGATTGAGTGTCACATGTCATGAACATAGTCTCCAGTTCTGTAGCTTCCTTCTCATGCATAAAAGTGGAATCTTTGTTTTCTTCAAATTTCTTTTGCCTGCAAAACTTCTTAGTGTGACCAAATTTCTGGCGATTATAACATTGTATCTCAGATAGAGGTTTCTTTCCTTTCCCTTTGAAGCCTTTTCCTTGAACTTCTTGACTGTGTTCATTAATCACGTCCCTTCCATGCCCTTTGTATGATCCTGTATTCTTATTATTGTTTCTTCCTTTATTCTTGTCATTTGAAGCAACTTGAAAGGTCTGATCAGTCGCAGCTGTCTCGAATTGTTTTATACGCAGTTCGTGGGACTGTAATGTCCCGAGAAGGCTTTCCAATGAAAGTTTTGTAAGATATTTGGACTCCTCTATTGCGAGAACCACACATTCGAATTTACGTGTAAGAGATCTCAATATTTTTTCTACAATTCTTTGATCATCAAGTCGCTCCCCATTCAACCTCATCTGGTTAACGATTGCGATCAAACGATTGTAGAATTCTTCTATCGAGTCTGTTTCCCTCATTTTCAATCCATCAAACTCGCATCTGAGTGTTTGGAGACGTACCGTCTTAACCCGTTCTTCACCTCTATAGAATTTGTACAACGTATCCCACGCATCTTTGGACGAGATTGCCGTTGAGATTCGTTCAAAAATCGTATCTTCTATGGACTGATATATAAAAAATAATGCTTTCTTGTCTTTTTTCCTGTTGTCTCATAATTCCGTGATCTGTTGTGCCGTCATATCGGTCTGAGTCAGGGGTTCTGTAATCCCGTTCTCGACTACCCCCCACAGATCTTGAGACTCATACAAAACCTTCATTTGGATGCTCCAATGATGGTAGTTCTTCCCGTTCAACTTCAGAAGATGTGGCTGCAAAAAGTTGTTGTTCTACGAAGCCATGTACCCTCTAAAATATCAGATCTTTACCAACGCTAACAAGAACCCTAACCTAGGGCTCTGATACCAATTTTTTGTAGAAATCTAGAATTCCTAGTTCATGCAGGAATATTGCTGCATCTAAGAGGCTTTAACACAGATTGTTTTTTTTAACGTAAAACTTTTTTTCATCAATTATAAGCAGCAAGTCAATACATATATATACACCAAGAACCATCGCAACCCTTTACATGGAGGTTACATGATGGCAGTTATTTATTAATAACTACCCAAACAAACCAACTGTCTAGCTTACTACTTAACAGGAAGAACCTTAGAGAAAGTATTTTCAAGATAAACCCCAAAGAGTATAAATGAAGAAACCGAAGCAAATAAAAACAAATATGAGGTGTTTATAAATGGGTTCATGGGATTGATGAACACTGAGAAGAGAAGGACAAAAATGTGATTACTTTACCTGGTGTGAAGGACATAAAGAGATTTAGTTGTGTTCACACAAGCTCTTCTAGAGAAAAATTTACTAGCGCTACTCAAAGGTGTCGAAATGAATGAGGATTTGAAAAGATAAAACGATATTAGCCATATTGGTTTTCATCAAATAATCTGTTGGCCCATCCCTAGTAATCTTCCCCATCTGCATAACATAGTTAATAAACTCTTTTTGTTAACCACAAGGGTGGTGTCTGATTGGTTTGAGTTTGGCTTCATGTAATATTCGGGTTACAAGTTTTAATTTGAGATTTTGGAATATATATATATATATATATATATATATAAATATATTTGTGTAAGAGTGTGTGTGTGGGTGTACTTAATTTATTATATAGTTTGTTAGGAGAAGGAAGGTCGGTTGAATGCCAGCTCTCACAATTCCATTTACTATAAATAGTAAATGAGGTTTTAGAAAGAAAATTTACACACTCTTGATATTGAGGAAAATTTTTACTTGACGTCTGGATTTGGCTGAGGAAGGAAAAGATTCAAAAACAAGGACATTTGGCTTTAAAGTGAGTGTATATTGCTTTAAAGTCTTGGTTATTATTTCTTTTACTGCTAGAATCTGCTATTTATGAACTGCATTTCATAAATATTTGGTTAAGTCCTTAAAACCGGACAAGGAGTGTCTAGAGTTATCCTTAAACCGGTTAAGAGGTGACCGGATATTTTCTTAAACCGCCCAAGTGTTGACCGGTTTATCCTTAAACCGCCCAAGTGTTGTCCGGATATTTTCTTAAACCGCCCAAGTGTTGACCGGTTTATCCTTAAACCGCCCAAGTGTTGTCCGGATATTTTCTTAAAGCGCCCAAGTGTTGACCGGTTTATCCTTAAACCNCGCCCAAGTGTTGACCGGTTTATCCTTAAACCGCCCAAGTGTTGTCCGGATATTTTCTTAAAGCGCCCAAGTGTTGACCGGTTTATCCTTAAACCGCCCAAGTGTTGTCCGGATATTTTCTTAAACCGCCCAAGTGTTGACCGGTTTAGAGCTAAACCACCCAAGTTGTGTCCGGATTACCATATTCTTGTTCTAAGTCTTTGTCCTGACTTGATATCCGAACAGTGATGACCGGATTTCTTATCCGGCTAAAAAGATTCATTAAAGGTGTAACCGCGAGAGAGATGAAATGGCGGAGTAACTGCGAGAGAGATGTAATGGCGGTGTAACCGAGAGAGAGATGTAATGGCGGTGTAACCGCGAGATAGATGTAATGGCGGTGTAACCGCGAGAGAGATGAAATGGCAGTGTAACAGCGAGAGAGATGAAATGGCGGTGTAACCGCGATAAAGAAAGGATATGTGATAAATATAGATAAAATGTTTGTGATGTACAGGTTTGATTCTAAACTATTAGTTTAGAAAGTATGTTATTTTATGAGATATGTACACTCACTAGACCTTTTGGGTCTAACGCTCAGTTGTTGGACTAACCGGTTTTGCAAGTCAACATACCTCACAGGATAAAGGAAAGGGAAAAGTTTAATGTTGATGACATTTGTTTATTCATAAATGTATTAAAGAAAGTTTTTGTTAGTCCGTGTTCTGTAACAATATTATTTTTAGTATTATGAGTATATGTATGTGGATTATCTGTATATGAAATTGTGGGTTGTTACAAGTTGGTATCAGAGCCTTAGTTTAAGGGATCTGGGTATTTGCAAAATAGTTAGACTTAAACTAGAGGTGCGGAAGTTATGATTATAGGTTTCACTGAGTCTATGAACATGAGAATATGTTATAGCTGAACCTATTATGAGAAAGATAGATTATATATGACTGATATAATCTGAGTTATGGATAGACTTGAGGATGAATGTATTATTATGTTTTGATTATGAAAATAATCATGTGTGTTTAAATGTGACAGAAAGAGTTATACACTGAGAAATGGCATATAATCTCAATCAATCAGAAAGGACCTCTACTAGTTATGGAAGAGGTCGGGGAAGAAGAAACGTAACACAAAGAGAGGACCCGGAAATATGATGACGATAGAAACGCGAAGTCGTAGCAGGGATCGAGGAAGAGGTAGAGGTACTAGACAAGAACTGGAACTGTCGGCTCAAGAGAGTTCAATGTCTGGTTATGGAAGAGGAAGGGCAAGGGGTGGACACAATGTTCCTGATCCCGAATTTATTACCCAAGAAATGTTGGCAGCAGAGTTGGGAAAATTCCAAGAAAAATGAATTTGTTGGGGCGTACAGTCCAAAATAATCCAGAAGTAGTAAGAAATCCCGATTATCAGGAAGAAGCCGGAGCTAGTACACCAGTAACTGGTACATCTGTACCTCTTACTTCGTTCTCAGTACAAAAGGGAGGAGATATCAAAACGTTTATTGCTTGTAAACCTCCCAAGTTTTCTGGTGAGCGTGATCCTGTTAAAGCTATGTGTTGGCTTAAGGAAATAGAGCTGAGTCTACAAATCAGTAAAAGTGCAGAAGAGGATAAAGTTATGTTTGATGTGTCACATCTGAAATCAAGTGCTTTGTACTGGTGGAAAGTCCTGTCCAGTTCAGATCCGAACATTTTGAAGACCATGTTGTGGGAAGAATTTGTGGTTAAGTTTAAAATGCAGTATTGTCCTGAAGCTGCAGTACGAAAGTTGGAAGATGATTTCCTTCGTCTAGAACAAGGAAAAATGTCAGTCCGCCAGTATACAGAAGTTTTCACGGAACAATCTAGGTTTGCTGAAGCCTATATAATATCTGAAAACAGTAAAGTGAGAAAGTATATCTGGGGATTGGAGTCGAATCTTCGGAAATATGTGATATCCAGGAATCCGACAACATTTCAAGCGGGAGTTGATGATGCTGAAATACTGGAGCAAGATATTAACCGACAATCACAAGAGAATGTTGGAGAGAAAAGAAAGGGGGAAGCTACAGTAACTGATTTCCGTAGACCGAGGTTTATGGAAAATTTGAATCGGCCAGTCTCAAGATTTGCTGATAGGGCGTGTACCCGATATCATAAGATACATTAGGGAAATTGCAATACAGAATCTCGAGTATGCTTTAAATGTCAAGAACCAGGACATATAGCTCGAGATTGTCGGATAACACCGAGGTGTTTTACTTGTAATTCATCTCAACATGTAAATGTCGATTGTCCGCAAGCTAAAGGTCGAGGGTCTTTTGTTGGAAGTCAGGGATCTGGATATTCTGGAGGCCGAGGATCTGGTTATGTGCCAACAGGTCGTGGACAAATGGATAATCGTGTTAATGCAAGTGGTAGAGGAGAAATAAGACGTGGGGAGTCTGCGAGAGGGAGAGCCTTTCAGATGACGAGAGGCGAGGCAGAAGAGCACCCTGAAGTGGTAACAGGTACATTTCTTGTTAATTCAGTATGTGCTAAAGTTTTATTTGATTCGGGTGCAGATCGTTCTTTTGTGTCACCATCATTTGTTAACTGTGCACATTTAGAATCTAAAGCATTGAGTGAGGATCTAATTGTGGAAACAGCAAATGATAGTAAAGTTTTGATTAAGGAAAGAATAGATGAGTGTTTCATAAGTATAGAAGGATGTGAGGTGCCTATACAGTTATTTCTTTTGCCTTTAAGGGAATTTGATATAATTATAGGCATGGATTGGTTAGCTGAAAACCAAGCCAACATAATCTGTAATGAAAAGATGATTCATATAGACTTACCYGRAAAAGGAAGAGTTGTGATTTATGGAGATCGACGGGATCGTTACTCTAGCCTAATTTCTGTTCTAAAGGCTAGGAAGTATGTACATAAGGGATGTGTTAGTTTTCTTGCATATGCTATAGATATGAAGAAAGAGAAGGGAAAGATGGAGGATATCCCAGTCGTAAGGGAATTTCCTGA